TTATAGTGTTTAGTATCTATGTGTTGGGTATCAAGTTTCACTTCTGATCACTTCACGTAAGTTTAATAGAATGGTTTGTTTTAGTAGTTATAAATTTCATCTTGTAGTTTAATGGATTTTTAAATTAGCTTTAATATATGTGACAGTTAATAAGTTTTATTTGTATTGATCACTTTAAGTGCGCTTAAGTGTTTTGTTTTTTAAACATTTTCCTTTCTTTGATTGACAATTATGTTCAGTATGAGTTCTTTGTTTACCAGTTATTTGATTGTGATTTCTGTTTTTTTCTTTTAGATCTGATGATGAATACGAGAAGTATTCGAAACGTTATGTTTTTTAAAGTAAAGATTCTGATACAAGATGTTCAGTATATCCCTGGTTTTCCTATTCATCTTAAATATATATATATATATATATATATATATATATATATATATATATATATATATATATATATATATATATATATATATATTATTTCTTGTACTAGGTCAGTGTAATATCTGCTCCAAAAGGTTATTAGTTGTAAGTGAGTTGAAGTGGAGACATCCTGACTGGCCAGTGTGGCCCTCACTCTCGCTACATGTCCTCACGGGTTTCACAATGTTGTATACTGCTGTATGTCTGTCTTGTGTGTGTGTGTATGATGACAACTGTGTCACACACACCTGTGAAGGAGGATAGTGCTGTGTGGGTCACACACACACACACAACTGGAGAGAAGGGACTTCCTAACACCACCAGCAAGGGTTCAGGGATGGCAAGTCGTGTCTCACTGGTTTAATAGAATACTATGTCCAAGCAACAAACATTAAGCAAGAAAGAAAAGGCTGGGTAGACTGCATTTTCTTAGACTGTCAGAAAGCGTTTAACAAATTCGTCCATAAGAGACTGTTGAATAAGTTGCAGAAACAAGCTGGAGTAAGTGGAAGGATGTTCCAATGGATTAGGGAGTACCTAGACAACAGGAAGCAGAGAGTTACTGTGATGGGGTGAGACCTCAGACTGGCGTGATGTCACCAGTGGAGTCCCACAGGGCTCTGTACTCGGACCTATCCTGTGTCTCATATATGTGAATGATCTTCAAGAGGGTATAGACTCATTCCTCTCAATGTTTGCTGAAGTTGCTGAAATTATGAGAAGGATTAAGACAGAGGAGGACAGCTTGAGGCTACTGGATGACCAAAACAGACTGAAGGAATGGTCCAAGAAATGGCTAGTAGAGTTTAACTCGAGCAAGTGCAAAGTGATGAAGATAGGCGTAGGGAGCAGGAGGCCAAACACAAGGTACCAGCTGGGAGAGGACATCCTTCAGCAGTCAGGAAGAGAGAAAGATCTGAGGGTTGATATCACACCAGACCTGTCCCCTGAAGCCCACACCAAAATAATAACATCAGCGGCGTATGCAAGGCTGGCGAACATAAGAACTGCTTTCAGAAACTTGTGTAAGGAATCATTCAGACCCTTGTATACCACATATGTCAGACCAATACTGGAGTATGCGGCTCCAGCCTGGAGTCCACATCTAGTCAAACACAAAACGAAGTTAGAAAAGGTTGAGAGGTTCACCAGGCCAGTCCCCCGAGCTGAGAGGTATGAGCTACGAGGAAATATTACTCGAACTGAACCTCACGACCCTGGAAGACAGAAGAGTTAGGGGAGACATGATCGTTATCTAAAAATTCTCAGGAATTAACAGGGATAGATAAAGATAAATTGTTTAACACGGGTGGTACACGAACAAGGGGACACAGGTGGAAACTGAGTACCCACATGAGCCACAGGGACGTTAGAAGGAACTTTTTCAGTGTCAGAGTAGTTAACGGATGGAATGCATTAGGCAGTGATGTGGTGGAGGCTGACTCCATACAGTTTCAAGTGTAGATATGATAGAGCCCAATAGGCTCAGGACTCTGTACACCCTAACTCTTCTGTCTTCCAGCAAAGTGAGGATTAATTCCCGAAGTCTCTCCTCGTAGCTCATACCTCTCAGCTCGGGTACTAGTCTGGTGACAAACCTTTGAATCTTTTCCAGTTTAGTCTTATGCTTGACTAGATATGGACACCATGCTGGAGCCGCATACTCCAGGATTGGTTTGACATATGTGGTATTCAAAGTTTAGTTTAGTTCATTTATTATGCACCCCATACCCATTTTGTGGGCGGTAGTGGAAAGGGTTACAGAGGCACATAATGGGCTCAGGGACTGAACCCCACAATTCATTTAGCTAAGCAAGTTACAATCTTGATGAGCTAGTTACAAAATTCAATATAAGTCGTCACATCAACAATGGGTTCGAGATCGACCTCAAGTACAGGTTCTAAATTAAGCAACTGACATATGTGGAGAGCTAGTGTCAAAATTGATATGTTTGTCCTGCACACCGCCCCCCATCCAGTGGGCAGCGGTGGATAGGTTACAATCACTTAGTTACTACCTACAGTTAGCAAACTGGGGATATTTGGCTAAAATTTCTGGTAGCAGATTATTTTGAATGAAATATTTACACATCGCTGGAACATTGGTTATAGAATTGTCTCTAAATTCACGTATCTTTTCGCACTCCATCACATAGTGACGGAGGGTGTGCGAATAATTATGTTGACACAGTTTACATTTGGTCAGGTCTACATCAGCAGATAATGAGAATTCCCAGAGATACTTGTAACCGAGTCTAAGCCGAGCAGTAGTAACATCTAGAAGTCTGCTGATTTTATTGGATGATCCATAGATGTGTGGCTCCTCTTGCATGATAGTATGATGATAGATGGAATTACTGGTGTCAATTTCACTTTGCCTCAGATCTACAAGATCTTGTTGAAGTTCTCGGTGTACTGCTGCTCTCAGATTGCTCATTGACAATCCAAGGTTACACTCAACGGCTCCTTTAAAGGCAGATTCTTTGGCTAACTTATCAGCTCTATCATGCATTCGGAGCCCAACATGAGATGGAGACCACATGAAATGGACTCTGTTACCATCCTTAATAATTTTGTTGTATTTGTGTCTAGCTTCGGACACGAGCATGTTACATTTATGTCTTAAAGAGTTGAGAGCATTTAAGGATGATAAAGAGTCACTTACAATTAATGTATCAAGTTTGGAGACTTGTACACATTTCAGTGCAAGGAGCAAGGCAAATAGTTTGGTCTGAATGGTAGAGGCCCAGTTGTTTATACGGACTATACAAAGTTCTGAATGATTCCTTACATTCACATCCTGGTGACTTCACGCCAGTCTGAGGTCTCTTCCCTTACTGTAACTCTCTGCTTCCTATTGCTTAGGTACTCCCTTATCCACTGGAGCGCCCTGCCTGTTTCTCCAGCTTATGTACCAGCCTCTTATGGGGTACTGTGTCAAAGGCTTTCCGACAGTCCAAGAAAATACAGTCCGCCCACCCTTCTCTTTCTTGCTTAATCTTTGTCACCTGATCGTAGAATTCTATCAATCCTGTAAGGCAAGATTTACCCTCCCTGAACCCATGTTGATGGGTTGTCACGAAGTCTCTTCTCTCCAGATGTGTTACCAGGTTTTTTCTCACAATATTCTCCATCACCTTGCATGGTGCACAAGTCAAGGACACTGGCCTGTAGTTCAGTGCCTCTTGTCTGTCACCCTTTTTGTATATTGGTACTACATTAGCCGTCTTCCATATTTCTAGTAGGTCTCCCGTTTCCAGTGACTTACTATACACTATGGAGAGTGGCAAGCAAAGTGCCTCTGCACACTCTTTCAATACCCATGGTGAGATTCCGTCCGGCCCAACAGCCTTTCTCACGTCCAGATCCAACAGATGTCTCTTGATCTCATCTCTTGTAATTTCGAACCCTTCCATGGCCGCCTAGGTTACTGCCCCCTCTCCTATCACAGTGACCTCTCCTTGTTCTATTGTAAAGACCTCCTGGAACCTCTTGTTGAGTTCTTCACACACCTCTTTGTCGTTCTCTGTATACCTGTCCTCACCTGTTCTAAGTTTCATTACCTGTTCTTTCACTGTTGTTTTCTTCCTTATGTGACTGTGGAGTAGCTTTGGTTCTCGCTATATCATATTCATAATTTTTCTCTGCTTCCCTTCTCACACTAACATACTCGTTCCTGGTTCTCTGGTATCTCTCTCTACTGTCTGGTGTTCTGTTATTCCGGAAGTTCCTCCACGCTCTTTTGTTCAGTTTCTTTGCTTCCATACATGCCCTATTAAACCATGGATCCTTCTTTTGCTTCTCTGATTTTTCCTTTCGGGCCGGGATGAACCTGTTTACTGCCTCCTGACACTTTTGGGTGACATAGTCCATCATGTCTTGTATGGACTTAGATCTGGGTTCTGTCTCGTGGTATTTCTCTTAGGAATTTTCTCATCTCATAATTTTCCTTTCGATACGCCAGTCCCTTGTTTTCTAGTCCTTATGTGGGGGAGATAAGTCCTAGATCTACCAGGTACTCAAAGTTCAATACTCTGTGGTCACTCATTCCCAAGGGCGCTTCCATCTTAACTTCCCTTATATCCCACTCATTTAGGGTAAATATCAGATCGAGCATGGCTGGTTCATCTTCTCCTCTCATTCTTGTTGGATCCTTGATGTGCTGGCTTAGAAAGTTTCTTGTTGCCACGTCCAGCAGCTTAGCTCTCCATGTATCTGGTCTTCCATGTGGGTCTCTGTTCTCCAAATCTATCTTCCCATGGTTGAAGTCTCCCATAATTAGTAGTCCAGATCCATTCCTGCTAGCAACAAAAGCTGCTCTCTCTATTATATTAATGGTGACCATGTTGTTTCCATCATATTCCTGTATGGGTCTTCAGTCATTTGGCGGTGGATTATATATGACTACTATTATAAGTTTTAATTCCCCAATTGCTATAGTATGTATATGAACAAAACATTCAGCTTCCCCCAATACACCCCCTAGTACAAACAATCTTTCCTAGTCCCCCCCTAGTGTAACCAGCAAGCTATACCCCACATTACTAACCTCCTCCCCTCTCTCTCTCCCCCCCCCCCAGCAAACACCACACTGTACCCGTATCTAGCAGTCCACCTTCAGTCCCTGGGGTTCGGGGCGGACAAGGCAGGGGTCCTGCTGGCCATCACGCCCCTGGTGGCCATCATGGGACCCCCTGTAGCAGGCGCTGTCGCCGACAAGTTAGGCAACTTTAAGGTAAGTCAGGAAAGTAAGTTTGAGTTTCCTTTAAACTTACTTTATGGTAAGTCTGAGGAACTTCACCTTCTTTTTATAGGGGAAGGTTCGCCTACAGGCCTATCATTCTGTGTAGGGTTATTAAGGTCTATCAAACCCCTAGATTATAGGGAGACCCAGATTATAGGGAGACCCAGATTATATGGAGATCCAGATTATAGGGAGACCCAGATCATAGGGAGACCAAGATTACAGGGAGACCCAAATTATACGGAAATCCAGATTATAGGGAGACCCAGATTATAGGGAGATCCTGATTATAGGAACAACCAGATTATAGGGAGATCCAGATTATAGGGCAATCCCGATTATAGGGACACCCAGATTATAGGAAGATCCAGATTATAGGGAGACCCAGATTATAGGGAGATCCAGATTATAGGGAGATCCAGATTATAGGGACAACCAGATTATAGGGAGACCCAGATTATAGGGAGATCCAGATTATAGGGACAACCAGATTATAGGGAGACCCAGATTATAGGGAGATCCAGATTATAGGGAGACCCAGATTATAGGGAAACCCAGATAATAGGGAGATCCAGATTATAGGGTGTGGTAAAACTTGACTCATGTAAGTCATTCAAATGAATTCTATTTTCGACAGCTTACGAAGGACCTCCACTTTTAGAGAAAAAGTGGAGAACAGGGTAGAGCAAGTGGTGCAACCCGTTCTCGCACTTGCTTATAGTCAATATCTTGCTTATGAATAAGTGCATATGTGACATACTAATTTATTGTGAATATTAGAGTTTGCCTTGAAAAGCTGAATGGAAAACCACAACCTAACCTAACCTTCTTACTATGTTAAGATATTACAATTAGTGCTGAACCTATACCTATAATGATATTATAGTTTTATAAAAATAATAAAACAAAACTAAAATATTTAAATAAATTGTAAAGTAACTCAGGATATTGTCAAATTTTGTATAAAATCTCTATTGTTTAATAAAATTGAGAGAAAAAGTATGTGCCTTGAAAAAAATGATGGCTTGGAATGTCACATATGTACTTATTTATATGAGAAATAGTGACTGTAAACAATAAGTCATATATGTGCTGTCTTGTGAGAGAGCAAGTTGGTATGATATTTTACTCCAAGAACTAGTGTCCTATGGATATTCTTAGTTAATAATGCATTGACTATTAAGGTGACTGTATTATCAGTCAAATCCCTCACCCAAAATGCGGGGTTACAGGCGATAAGATTAATATATCCCAAGCATGATTTCAGTGCTGGTTCATCACTGAATTAAATAAAAGTGTAACACATATTAAATGGTTTATAAGAATAATTATTAGAGAAAAATGTACCTCGATATACTCCTGTAATATTGAATAGTATATAGTAATTCAAAGTGATTAGTATAATTAATCTCGTGAGGAAATCATTAAGGTTGATTTGATTAGTTAAATGTTAACTAACAAATCATATTTGTTAGTTAACATTAACTGACGTGGACCCGGGGGCTGGAAGGTAATTACATTGTAGAACTCTTCTACTTAAGTAACTACAGGTACCTCCTATATATACGGAATTCTTGCTAAAGGATATATCTATCACTGCTGAAATCTTCTACAGCTATCATGGCAATATATATTCCTATATAAACTACGGAATACGGGTAGAGAGTACACGGACTGGATTTTGACGATAATTTCTCAGCCTAACAACAACTATATAAATGTTATATGTACACAAATAGAATAATTATAGTTGCCGGACCAAGTGTCTATTGATGGAGGGAAGGATTCCAGGTCTCCGTCCTGCAGTGCTGCTGCTCAGACGTTAATTAATGGCTGGAGAGTTAAGTAGTTCGTGGACACTGCCGTGCTGTGCCTAAATAACTTGGCACTGCTCTCGGGATTGTGGGAGCGAATTAAATGACACTACGCAAGTTCCTTCCAATGGCGTTTCTCTCTTGCATGCTGCTAATATGGCGCCGCGAGTGGGAATGGCGTCGCCTCCCTCCCTGGCTGGGATACGCATGCGCAGAACGCTCCCAAAGTATTCTCGAGCGTAAATGATTTTACTTACTTGTAATTAATTAGGGAAGTAAGGAATCGTGACAAGTTCTGATGTCACTAATAAATGTATTAAAATGCAAAATATTTTTGCACAATGCAAGTCAGCTTATTAAGACTGCAGTATATGAAAGGAAGGAATATTGTATCAAATTATTTTACATTGCAATATTTCCCACTGTAGTTGTTAATTCACCTAAATGAGCGAGTTCAGTAAGCAGTAATATGCTATTTAAATAAAACAAACTAGATAAACGATTATCCTTAATAAAGGAAAGTAATTAACTGGACTGTATTAAGATACAACTAAATGTGGAGAGAATTTATGTTTAAGCCCGTCGCTGCCTCCGGCGTCACTCACACTAGGAACACTCCGACAAAAATGGCTTCACAATACCTCATTAACTGGATTAATTCTACGAATAAGTAAGACTAGTAATTACTGTTGTTAATACAGTAAGGATGTATTATTATACTAAAATGATGTATAAATGTTGGATAATTTCCAACACCACTCCTCATCACCACCACCACCACCACTAACAACCCAACCACCACTACCCTTCACCACCACCGCCATCACCACTATCCTTCACCATCACCACCACCACTACCACCACCATCACCACCACCACCACCACCACCACTAACAACCCAACCACCACTACCCTTCACCACCACCGCCATCACCACTATCCTTCACCATCACCACCACCACCCCTCACCACCACCACCACTAACAACCCAACCACCATCGTTGCAGCTGTTCTTCTCAGGGGTGGTGACCATGACAGGGATGATGTCGCTGCTGTTACTCATCATCCCCCAGGTGCCCATCCCCCCTGGGGTGGCCCTCACACTCATCACCGACCACCACGTCTCAGAGCACCCCAGTGGACCAGGTACGTCCTCCCCCGCTGCCTCATACCTCATACTCGCCTCATACCTCATACTTTCTCCTCTACCTCGTGTGTGATTGTGGTTTCTCATTTGATCTTGTTGTATAATATGTTATTTTGTTATATCTCTCTTGTTATTGGTTATATTTGTTATGTTTTATGCTATGTTGTTATACCTCATACTCTGTTGTTACACCTCATACTCTGTTGTTACACCTCATATTCTGTTGTCACACCTCATACTCTGTTGTCACACCTCATACTCTGTTGTTACACCTCATATTCTGTTGTCACACCTCATACTCTGTTGTCACACCTCATACTCTGTTGTTACACCTCATACTCTTGTCACACCTCATACTCCTGTCACACCTCATACTCTGTTGTCACACCTTATACTCTGTTGTCACACCTCATACTCTGTTGTCACACCTCATACTCTGTTGTTACACCTCATACTCTGTTGTCACACCTCATACTCTGTTGTCACACCTCATACTCTTGTCACACCTCATACTCTGTTGTTACACCTCATACTCTGTTGTCACACCTCATACTCTGTTGTCACACCTCATACTCTTGTCACACCTCATACTCTGTTGTTACACCTCATACTCTGTTGTCACACCTCATACTCTGTTGTCACACCTCATACTCTTGTCACACCTCATACTCCTGTCACACCTCATACTCTGTTGTCACACCTCATACTCTATTGTCACACCTCATACTCTTGTTACACCTCATACTCTATTGTCACACCTCATACTCTGTTGTTACACCTCATACTCTATTGTCACTACTCATACTCTGTTGTCACACCTCATACTCTATTGTCACACCTCATACTCTATTGTTACACCTCATACTCTGTTGTTACACCTCATACTCTGTTGTCACACCTCATACTCTGTTGTTACACCTCATACTCTGTTGTTACACCTCATACTCTGTTGTTATACCTCATACTCTGTTGTTACACCTCATACTCTGTTGTTACACCTCATATTCTGTTGTCACACCTCATACTCTGTTGTCACACCTCATACTCTGTTGTTACACCTCATACTCTTGTCACACCTCATACTCCTGTCACACCTCATACTCTGTTGTCACACCTTATACTCTGTTGTCACACCTCATACTCTGTTGTTACACCTCATACTCTGTTGTCACACCTCATACTCTGTTGTCACACCTCATACTCTTGTCACACCTCATACTCTGTTGTTACACCTCATACTCTGTTGTCACACCTCATACTCTGTTGTCACACCTCATACTCTTGTCACACCTCATACTCTGTTGTTACACCTCATACTCTGTTGTCACACCTCATACTCTGTTGTCACACCTCATACTCTTGTCACACCTCATACTCCTGTCACACCTCATACTCTGTTGTCACACCTCATACTCTATTGTCACACCTCATACTCTTGTTACACCTCATACTCTATTGTCACACCTCATACTCTGTTGTTACACCTCATACTCTATTGTCACACCTCATACTCTGTTGTCACACCTCATACTCTATTGTCACACCTCATACTATTGTTACACCTCATACTCTGTTGTTACACCTCATACTCTGTTGTCACACCTCATACTCTGTTGTTACACCTCATACTCTGTTGTTACACCTCATACTCTGTTGTTACACCTCATACTCTGTTGTTACACCTCATACTCTGTTGTCACACCTCATACTCTTGTCACACCTCATACTCTATTGTCACACCTCATACTCTTGTTACACCTCATACTCTATTGTTACACCTCATACTCTTGTCACACCTCATACTCTATTGTCACACCTCATACTCTTGTTACACCTCATACTCTGTTGTTACACCTCATACTCTATTGTCACACCTCATACTCTTGTCACACCTCATACTCTATTGTCACACCTCATACTCTGTTGTTACACCTCATACTCTGTTGTCACACCTCATACTCTGTTGTCACGCCTCATACTCTGTTGTTACACCTCATACTCTGTTGTCACATCTCATACTATTGTCACACCTCATACTCTTGTCACACCTCATACTCTTGTCACACCTCATACTCCTGTCACACCTCATACTCTTGTCACACCTCATACTCTGTTGTTACACCTCATACTCTGTTGTCACACCTCATACTATTGTCACACCTCATACTCTTGTCACACCTCATACTCTTGTCACACCTCATACTCCTGTCACACCTCATACTCCTGTCACACCTCATACTCTTGTCACACCTCATACTCTTGTCACACACCTCATACTCCTGTCACACCTCATACTCTGTTGTTATTCCTCATACTCTGTTGTCACACCTCATACTCCTGTCACACCTCATACTCTTGTCACACCTCATACTCTTGTCACACACCTCATACTCCTGTCACACCTCATACTCTGTTGTTATTCCTCATACTCTGTTGTCACACCTCATACTCCTGTCACACCTCATACTCTATTGTCACACCTCATACTCTTGTCACACCTCATACTCTGTTGTCACACCTCATACTCTTGTCACACACCTCATACCCTTGTCACACCTCATACTCTATTGTCACACCTCATACTCTACTGTCACACCTCATACTCTTGTCACACCTCATACTCTTGTCACACACCTCATACTCTTGTCACACACCTCATACTCTTGTCACACCTCATACTCTTGTCACACCTCATACTCTTGTCACACACCTCATACTCTTGTCACACACCTCATACTCTTGTCACACACCTCATACTCTTGTCACACACCTCATACTCTTGTCACACACCTCATACTCTTGTCACACCTCATACTCTATTGTTACACCTCATACTCTATTGTTACACCTCATACTCTATTTCACACCTCATACTCCTGTCACACCTCATGCCGCTGACGAAACCGGTCCATCTTTCCTCCATCATAGCGGCTGTGTTTACAGTAAACAGTTTACGACCTTGTAAACCCCACAACCCATAGTTATTATTACCATAAACAAACCTCATAACCTTTCCAATGTAAACAAAAGCCGCCATGATTGAGAAGTAAATTTTAATACGCTTCAATACCAACTAACACCATCGCATTTCTAACGAACTGCCAAATATGTAAAAAAAAACATATATATATATATATATATGTGTGTTAGAAAAACACATATATATATATTAGTTTAGAGGACAGGCTGATCCAAACCGCCGTAATTACGTCCTATTAACTGTCTGAGATGCTTGCAGAGATCCACAAGCTGGCCAACGTGTTGCCCAAGGAGGAGACGGGCAAGTACGTTGATGCTAAGTATCTTCAATTCATCGTTATCACCAACCAAACTGGCTGTGACTTTTATGATGAGTACCAGACCTCCATGGACGGCATTAACCATGTTAGTATATTCAGCCTGTATCATCATATGAGTTGGTATGTTCAGTCTGTATCATCATCATATGTTGGTATGTTCAGTCTGTATCATCATGAGTTGGTATGTTCAGTCTGTATCATCATCATATGTTGGTATGTTCAGTCTGTATCATCATCATATGTTGGTATGTTCAGTCTGTATCATCATCATATGTTGGTATATTCAGTCTGTATCATCATGAGTTGGTATGTTCAGCCTGTATCATCATCATGAGTTGGTATATTCAGTCTGTATCATCATGAGTTGGTATATTCAGCCTGTATCATCATCATGAGTTGGTGTATTCAGTCTGTATCATCATGAGTTGGTATGTTCAGTCTGTATCATCATCATATGTTGGTATGTTCAGTCTGTATCATCATCATATGTTGGTATGTTCAGTCTGTATCATCATGAGTTGGTATATTCAGTCTGTATCATCATGAGTTGGTATATTCAGTCTGTATCATCATGAGTTGGTGTATTCAGTCTGTATCATCATGAGTTGGTGTATTCAGTCTGTATCATCATGAGTTGGTGTATTCAGTCTGTATCATCATGAGTTGGTGTATTCAGTCTGTATCATCATGAGTTGGTATATACTCTGTATCATCATGAGTTGGTATATTCAGTCTGTATCATCATGAGTTGGTATATTCAGCCTGTATCATCATCATGAGTTGGTGTATTCAGTCTGTATCATCATGAGTTGGTATATACTCTGTATCATCATGAGTTGGTATATACTCTGTATCATCATGAGTTGGTATATACTCTGTATCATCATGAGTTGGTGTATTCAGTCTGTATCATCATGAGTTGGTGTATTCAGTCTGTATCATCATGAGTTGGTGTATACTCTGTATCATCATGAGTTGGTATATACTCTGTATCATCATGAGTTGGTATATACTCTGTATCATCATGAGTTGGTATATACTCTGTATCATCATGAGTTGGTGTATTCAGTCTGTATCATCATGAGTTGGTGTATTCAGTCTGTATCATCATGAGTTGGTATATACTCTGTATCATCATAAGTTGGTATATACTCTGTATCATCATGAGTTGGTATATTCAGCCTGTAACATCATGACCGTGTTATGCCAAAATCATCATTAATATCCTGGAATATGCCTGAGTCACCATATTGGTATATATGCCTGAATCATCACTACCATGTATAGGCCTTATGCTCATCGTGTCAGTATTTCTGCAGCGACTACCATGATAGGTGAAGTGCCTGGTTCAACGTTGTTGCTTATGCCAAGGATTATATTTTTAAGAACAGGCTTTTAAGAACAAAGAATTATACTTTTAAGAACAATAAATATACACTCTAGACTGCAGGAAGTTCATGTACTCTGCCACAGATCAATATCGGGTACGCGGCGCCCATGGCGACGGTCAATATAACCTGCATACTGAAGGCCAAGAACTTCTCCCTGATGGCCGTGACGACACAACACCCGCTCTTCTGCCCGGACAACGTGCCGCTCGTCCCGCTCTCTAAGGGCGCCGAGGACCTCCTTCCGGAGATCCTGGTGGACTACAACACCTCCGGCCTCAACCGGACGGTCAATGGCAGCGTGGCGGAGACCAAGGAGGACGCGTGGTGGCGCAGCGGCTGCGAAGTGGAGGTGCCGGGGCTCTGCGAACCCCACCACGACGCCTTCATCGGCGCCGAGAACCTCAGCTTCTGGACCTACCTCTTCGCGCGAAGTATCCTCAACGGGGCGCTCAACGCTTGCTTCGCGCTCTTTGAGGGCGCCACGCTCTCCTTGCTCAGAGAGCACGGCGGCGACTATGGCTTGCAGAGGTAAGGCGTTCTGCTCATATATGTACTCAAGGGCTCATATATGTATTCAGGGGCTCATATATGTACTCAGGGGCTCATATATGTACTCAGGGGCTCATATATGTACTCAGCGGCTCGTATATGTACTCAGGGGCACATATAAGTACTCAGGGACTCATATATGTACTCAGGGGCTCATATATGTACACAGGGGCTTATATATGTACTCAGGAGCTCATATATGCATTCAGGGGCTCATATATATACTCAGGGGGCTCATATTTGTACTCAGGGACTCATATATGTACTCAGGGGCTCACATATGTACTCAGCGGCTCATATATGTACCAATATATGTGGTCAATATACAGGGGCATGTGGTTAATATACAGGGGGCATGTGGTCAGTAGTAGGGATGACATGCCACAGAACATTTTTTTTTGGGGGGGAAATATCGTGTCTATGAGCCAGGGTTTTCAGGTAAATTTAGAATATCGTCTGTGTGAGCCATGGTTTTCAGGTTCCAATATCGTCTGTGTGAGCCAGGGTTTTGAGGTTCCAATATCTCGCATGTGAGCCAGGGTTTTCAGGTAAATTTTGTGTCACAGATTTTAGAAGTATGGAATTCTTATGAGAAAATAATTTCCGAGACATAGAAGTTTGTTAAGGTCTTATGGGACAAATTCAAGTAACGTATGTAACTCTTTAGGGCTTCCAGGAGAACTCTACGGACATATTTTACATGTTTTCAACTTACAAAATCGTCTATGTAAGCCTTAGTTATTCATATAAATTTAGAAAAACACCTGTGTTAGTCATGGTTTTCAGGGTTTCGTACATCACACCCCCCTCCCTCCCCCCTTACCTCGCAATCTCTCGCGTCACCTTTATTTACCTTACGCCCGGCCAGCCAGACCTCTTATCTTATCTTCTCCATAATAATATCTGGACCGTCCCTCCTCTCTCTCTCCTTTCATTCAGTTCAACTATTTTCCAACATCGTATGTTTGCTCCTTTTCATTAAGCAAGTCAGTTTTACACAAATAAATCATGATAGTAAGCATGTTCTAGCTCACGTTCCCCCACCTTAGTCCCTTGTCGTATAATGAATACTATCATTCCAATCCCTCTAAAATTTAAAATAATCATATTTCAAATGTAGTTCAATACAGTAATTTAGTTACCAAGCTCCAGCGCTTGTCCTCCGCCTTAGCTCTCTCTCGTATCTTCGTTAGTATCAGTCCAATTTCCCTGAAATTTTTACCCTCTGTATTTCGGGACACCGTAAATAAGATCAAAACAGTTACCAAGCTCCAGCTCTTGTCCTCCGCCTTAGCTCTCTCTCGTATCTTCGTTAGTATCAGTCCAATTTCCCTTAAATTGTTACCCTCTGTATTTCAGACACCGTAAATAAAATCAAGTCAGTTATCGAGCTCCAGCTCTCGTCCCCGCCTTAATTCTCTTTCGTATCTTTGTAAATAACCATCAATTTCCCTAAAATTAAAAGCAGACATACTTCAAAGTTAGTAAATAAGATCAAGTCAGTTACTGAGCTCCAGCTCTCGTCCCCCACCCTCTTCCACCCTCAAGTCTTTGTAAATAAACCATCAATTTCCCTTAAATTTTTACCCTCTGTATTTCAGACATAGTAAATATGATGAAAACAATTATAAAACTCTAGCTCTTGTCCTCTGTCCAAGTTCACTCCTGTAAATTCGTTACTATCAATCCAAATCCCCCTGAGATTTAAACACCCCACTACATTTTCAGACATAGTAAATAAAAAACCAGTTCAGTTATCAAGTTTCAACTCTTGTGCCCCGGCTTAGTTCATTTTGTACAAGTTCTTTATTTCCAACTATATCACATGAGATTTAAGATCACCTTATTTCTAACGTAGTAAAATTAATCAGGGCATTAACCAAGCTCCATTCCCTCAGCCTTAGATCATCAGACATAAATATTTTCGATCAAGTCCGTCTCCAGCTTAACTCTTACCCTTTCCCTCCCTTACCTTCTCATCCCCAACGTATCAATCCCCAACGTATCAAAACCTTCAATAATCATACTGTATTTGCATATTTTCTCTATATTCAGCTGTGTTCTTCGTATTCTCATCCGTGTTCACTCCATGTTCTTCAAATGTTCACAGTCCCATTCAGTTCATATTTTCACAAGTATCTCCATTTTTTATGTAATCTTTCTCTTAGTCTCATTATGTTCTCTACAAATTCTAGTCATATTTTCTATGTTTTCATATTCATCACATGTTCTCTTTACAACTTTTATACTCAATATTCATGCTAACTTCCATATTTTGTGTTCTTTGTCAATATTCATATTCCTCTACAAGTTCATGTTCCTCACAAGATCAATTCGTTTTTTCACCTTCACTTACATGTTTTCTACATTCTTTGTCATATTCTCCATGTTCTTCACAAGTCCATTTGTTCATTCTTTGTAATCCCTATTCTCCTTATCATGTTTTCATGTTCTCTGTAAGTTCTTATTCCCAGCATGTTCACTATATTCATCAACTTTTTCTTACGTGTTTTCTGTGTTCACCGTATGTTCACTGTGTTCATTCCCTTACTTAACCTCAATTTTTTTATGTTCTTTGTTTCTTCCATTCACTAACTAGTTCTTTGTCAAATATTAGCATCAGCAATACAGTTTCCTCAACAATTTTAGTCACCAAGTTTTTATTTGCAAAAACTATGTCAAAGTAATTCTCGTAGTCAACTTAATAGTTCTACCAGCCATGTTCTTAAACAAATCTACACTTTATTCAGTTCCAAATTTACAAAGACAAGCCTTTCTTGTAACTTCTTAACTAAAAAAATCTTTCTCCAATCAACTAAAACATAGTCACTTTCGTCATTTCTCAACTAAACCTATTATCCAGTCAACTAAAAATAGTCAGAAATAGCCTCGTTCAACACTGTTCTTAACTAAAACAACCTTTCTCTTAGCTAAAAATTGTCAAAGGAAACTTTTTCAGCACTTTCTTAACAGGCGCTATGTTTCATCAAGAAAAATTGTCAAAGGAAACTTTCCAAAACTGTTCATAACTAGTTTTTATCCATCGTCAATCAACTAAAAATAATAATAACTTTCATCATTTCTTAACTAAACATATTCCCCATTCATCAAAATAACCGTGTTCATCATGTTTCATTGTCATTTCTTAACTAAAATTATCTGCCAATCATCAGAAAAAGTCATGATCATCATGTTTTTGGCTTTTGCTCAACTAAAAGTATTCATCGGTCAACTAAAAATAGTTACTTCATCATGTTTCCTTGTAATTTCTTAACTGAAATATCACTTCTCTCATCTGAAAATAGTCAGGATTAACCTCATTCAACACCGTTCTTAACTAAAACAGCCTTTCGCTTAGCTAAAAATTGTCAAAGGAATCTTTTCAGCACTGTTCATAACTAACTTTATCCATCGTCAAGTAAGAAAATATAGTCAAAGATATCTATCATCGTCGTTCTTAACTGACATTTATACTTTGTGGAGCACTAAAATAGTCAAATGTAACTTTTTCAACACTTTCGTAACTAAAATTATATGTCGCTAAGTAAGAAAAATAGTCAAAGGTGCTCTCCGTTACACCAAAGTTACTCTTCGAGAAATCAAAAACACTCTTCAATACATCAAGGACTTACTCAAAGACACCAAAGTTACACTCTAAGACATCCTTCGAGACATCAAAGACTTCCTTAAGACTTCAATGGGACTCTTCCATTCATCAAAGACATTCTCTAAGCCCTCAAAGTTATTCTCAGCACAATCAAAAGTTATTCCAAGACAACAAAAGTTATTCTCAGAACAATCAAAAGTTATTCCAAGACAACAAAAGTCATTCTCAGAGCTATCAAAATTATTCTCGGAGTCATCAAAAGGTATTCTCTAACTCACTTTTGGTCATTAAAGTTAATTTCTATGTTATAAAAGTTTGTCTCAGAGACATCTAAAGTTAATCTTAGAGTTATCAAATGTAATCTCTAACTCTCTTTTGTTCATCAAAGTTGATCTCAGAGTTAACAAAGGTAATCTCTAACTCACTCTCGTTCATCAAAGTTGTTTCAAAGACATCAAAGTTATTCAAAGAGCTAACAAAAGTTATTCTCAGAGTCACCTTCGTTCTTCAGAGAAACTTTCCAAAACATCTTTATTCATCAAAGTTATTCTCAGAGGCATAAAAGTCATTCTCAGAGCTATCAAACTTGTTCTCAAAGTCATCAAACTTATTCACAGAGTCATCAAAGATAATCTAAGACATCATTTTTCATCAAAGATATTCTCTCTAAACCATCAATGTTCTTCTCTAAGACATAAAAGTTATTCTCAGAGTCACCTTCGTTCGTCAGAGAAACTTTCAAAACATCTTTGTTCATCAAACTTGTTTTCAAAGTCATCAAAAGTTAATCTAAGACATCTTCTTTCATCAAAGTTATTCTCTAAGACATCAAAGTTATTCTCAGAGCTATCAAACTTGTTCTCAGAGTCATCAAATGTTATTCTCGAAGTCATCAAAGTTATTTTCAGAGACATCTAAAGTTAATTTCTATGTTATAAAGTTATTCTCAGAGACATCTAAAGTTAATCTTGGTCATCAAAGTTGTTCTCTAAACATCAATGTTGTTCTCCAAGACATCAAAGATGTTCTCAAAATCATAAAAGTTATTCCCAGAGCTATCAAAGTTAATCTCAGAGTTATCCAAAGATATTCTCATGTCCACAAAAGTTATTCCAAGAGACGTCAAAGTTGTTTCAAAGACATCAAAGTTAATCTCAGAGTTATCCAAAGACATTCTCAGAGACATCTAAAGTTATTCTCTAAGACATCAAAGTTGTTCTAAGAGTTATCAAAAGTTATTCTCAGTCATGATATGTTATTCTCTAACTCACTTCCATTCATCAAAAACATTCTCTAAGTCCTGAAAGTTATTCTCTAAGACAACAAAGTCTTTCTCAGAGCTACCAAAGATGTTCTCTAAATCATAAAAGTT